CACCTGAACGTCAGGTCAGGTCATTGACGTTTGGTGACCTCGGTTCAATTTTCGAGTTTTACATGTTTCTAGATTAGTTTTTTACAGGTCTCGATTTTCCCGATTTTTGGGTCATTGACCTGATCTGGAAGGCGAACCGATGACTAGGACCTTAAAATTGGGTATTATCGTCTTCGTCTCGTGACGGGCAGCACGCTCGTTTTTTCCGCGAAGCTCTAGCTCGATCAGGAGTCAAACGCAGGGGGGGGGGTCGTACCAACCCCCCTTGTGCCGTCGAAGGACGCAAAATATCCTGTGCCGGCTTGGGTTAAATGCGTGTCCGGTGCTCCATACCCAATATTTCAATTCCTACCTCTGTATTGTTTTTTCCGAGTGTTCCTAACTGGCTTACGTGTTGAATCGTTCGGTCGGCTTGTGGTCCCTTGTTACAAGTGATTTTGTGTGCGGACAGGTCCGGATGGTTCCGAGGCTGCCATCGTGTCGGAGACCGGTAGCCTCGCAGGGGGCCACCAGTCCGGCGCGCAGTCGGACGCCCAGTCGGACGCCCAGTCCGACGATCTGTCTGACGCCCAGCCCGACGATCAGTCTGGCGCCCAGTCCGTCGTCCTCACGAGGATGATGACGCTGCCAGGACCGGTGGCTATGCCGACGTCTCGTGAGTCTCCCCTTCCCCTCCTTTTCTCTCTCTCCCTCTACCTTCTTTCTGTTTTGGTCGTTTTCCTGTTTCTCCAACACGCCCTCCTACCTCATGTTACTCCGCTCACAATAATTCTGTTCTGTCGCCAACATTTTTTTTTATATAAATTTAGCTCGAATGTTTGAATGGACAGATTGACAGAGCCGGAGCCCACGCTAAGCAGAGCTTGTTGCGTAGACCCCGACCCCTACCGTCCGATCGTGCAATTCCGGGTAACGGGAGGATTTAGATGCCAAAGTTTAACGTGCCCTTCAAAGCCGGACACGGCCTGTCCCACTCAACTGACTTCAACTGGCTGCGGCTGCTCCCACCAACCGCAGACCATCCCCGTCAGGAGTCTCAAATATCGAGCGCCGGAGCGTCTCGAACCCGGGCTCTCACTACCGGGAGTCCAATGCTCTACCAACTGAGCTACGGGACATTTTCAGCTCTTCTTAATGTCCCGGCCCGGACGAGCATAACATTGCTATCTTTTTATGATTAATACAATGGTGTAGCACACATTTCCAACTGTTGCGTACGTCCATGAACATTAAATGCGTTTCCGGTGCTCCGTACCCCATATTTTGTTCCTGTCTCTATATTGTATTTTTCCGAGTGTTTCGAACAGGCTTACGTGTTGAATGGTTCGGTCGGCTCGTGGTCCCTTGTTACAAGTGATTTTGTGCGCGGACAGGTCCGGATGGTTCCGAGGCTGCCACCGTGTCGGAGACCGGTAGCCTCGCAGGGGGCCACCAGTCCGGCGCGCAGTCGGACGCCCAGTCGGACGCCCAGTCCGACGATCTGTCTGACGCCCAGCCCGACGATCAGTCTGGCGCCCAGTCCGTCGTCCTCACGAGGATGATGACGCTGCTAGGACCGGTGGCTATGCCGACGTCTCGTGAGTCTCCCCTTCCCCTCCCTTTCTCTCTCCCTCTACCTTCTTTCTGTTTTGGTTGTTTTCCTGTTTCTCCAACACGCCCTCCTACCTCATGTTACTCCGCTCACAATAATTTTGTTCTGTCGCCAACATTTTTTTTATATAAATTTAGCTCGAATGTTTGAATGGACGGATTGACAGAGCCGGAGCCCACGCTAAGCAGAGCTTGTTGCGTAGACCCCGACCCCTACCGTCCGATCGTGCAATTCCGGGTAACGGGAGGATTTAGATGCCAAAGTTTAACGTGCCCTTCAAAGCCGGACACGGCCTGTCCCACTCAACTGACTTCAACTGGCTGCGGCTGCTCCCACCAACCGCAGACCATCCCCGTCAGGAGTCTCAAATATCGAGCGCCGGAGCGTCTCGAACCCGGGCTCTCACTACCGGGAGTCCAATGCTCTACCAACTGAGCTACGGGACATTTTCAGCTCTTCTTAATGTCCCGGCCCGGACGAGTATAACATTGCTATCTTTTTATGATTAATACAATGGTGTAGCACACATTTCCAACTGTTGCGTACGTCCATGAACATTAAATGCGTTTCCGGTGCTCCGTACCCCATATTTTGTTCCTGTCTCTATACCTATTGTATTTTTCCGAGTGTTTCGAACAGGCTTACGTGTTGAATGGTTCGGTCGGCTCGTGGTCCCTTGTTACAAGTGATTTTGTGTGCGGACAGGTCCGGATGGTTCCGAGGCTGCCACCGTGTCGGAGACCGGTAGCCTCGCAGGGGGCCACCAGTCCGGCGCGCAGTCGGACGCCCAGTCTGACGCCCAGTCCGACGATCTGTCTGACGCCCAGCCCGACGATCAGTCTGGCGCCCAGTCCGTCGTCCTCACGAGGATGATGACGCTGCCAGGACCGGTGGCTATGCCGACGTCTCGTGAGTTCTCTCTCTCTCTCTCTCTCTCTCTCTCTCTCTCTCTCTCTCTCTCTCTCTCTCTCTCTCTCTCTCTCTCTCTCTCTCTCTCTCTCTGTCTCTGTCTCTGTCTCTGTCTCTGTCTCTGTCTCTGTCTCTGTCTCTGTCTCTGTCTCTGTCTCTGTCTCTGTCTCTGTCTCTGTCTCTGTCTCTGTCTCTGTCTCTGTCTCTGTCTCTGTCTCTGTCTCTGTCTCTGTCTCTGTCTCTGTCTCTGTCTCTGTCTCTGTCTCTGTCTCTGTCTCTGTCTCTGTCTCTCTCTCTCTCTCTCTCTCTCTCTCTCTCTCTCTCTCTCTCTCTCTCTCTCTCTCTCTCTCTCTCTCTCTCGCATGCTGGCACTATTCATCGACCCGAAAAATATTTTGGTGTCGATGTTGTTCACGTTATGTGCTGGGGAAGCTACAATGCGGAGAGTTCGATGCATATTTTGTTTTTGACGTTTGGTATCCTCAGTTAATTGTTTTTCCTGCTTTTACAGGAGGTCGCCAACCGAAGCCGTCAGCTATGGTGAAGCCCGTTTATCGCAAACCTGAACAAGCTGTGGCTCGTCCGGCTCGTCAGCTATCGCTGAAGAGCCGGACCTAAAACAGCGGACTTGGAAGGATGTAAAGTACCAGGTCCACAATATGATTACGACCCGCCAGAGACGGGCGCTCAGATAGGTGAAAAGGGCTTCACCAGTCCGGCGCCCAGTCCGGTGCCCGGTCCGGCGCCCAGTCCGGCGCCCAGTTCGGCGCCCAGTTCGGCGCCCAGTCCGGCCTTCACCGTTTTTGTGGCAAATACAGCATCTGTCCTTTTTTTCGCTTTTTTGTATCTATGTACGGAAGGTCTCGCCCCGCGCCGTCCGGCCGGTGCTGGATTACACAGACCGGTATTATAGGTAGCACGAAACAAAACCTTGAACTTTTAGAGAAACACCTTAATCCGGGCTTAGATTAACTGACCATTGCATCAACATGACACACATTTATCACTTAATTGTAATATGTTGCGCAATTATGACCACGTTTATGATAATAAGTGCCCAGCACAGAAGGTCATGAAACCCAAACTGCTGAGTTCCCAATGTCGTGTAGTTGACCTGACCTTGACCCGACCCCTGACTTCAAAATTCAAATTTTGAGTGCTCATCAGACGTGTCTTGTCCCGAGCTTTCTTTTACTGTCTCGCCCGTCTAGCTGCGATAAGTGGTGCTTGAGTTATCGGCTGGGGGTGTTTAACGCCCCCCGATCCCCAGCATGCGTTGGGTGGAGAGGCACCCAAGCAACTGCCTGGTTTAACCCTCGCCGGAGCCGGACCTATTGGTTTTCTACATACGCGCCGGCCGAATGGGGTGGGTGCGACCCCCTCGCCGTTTCGCCCCTAATGGAGCTAGCGCGTCGCGGAAAAAAACGAGCGTGTGCGCCGTTACGAGACGCAGAGATTGGTACCCGATTTTAAGGTCCTAGGTCAACCGGTGACCTCTGAGGTCAGGTCAAGTGCCCCAAGAGATGGGTTCGGTTTTTGGCGAATAAAAACGCAAAAAAAATATCACAGCCGCGATTTTCACAACATCGTGTTCGCCTTAGTCTGGCGTGTCGAATGAAATGCGGTTGATGTCAGAAGATGCGGCTTGAATCAAAGGTCAGGTATGCCAAGTTTCAGCTCGCCATCGTCAGCGTGTTCGAAACTATCGCGAAAAAAAACTTTTGGGCGGCCTCCCTTCGGCCGGCGAGGTTTAATATTCGATACCGCTTACCTTATCCGATGACATGTCATCCCGCGAGTATAAATTTTGTGATGTCCCCTGAAATCATGTCTTGTCTGGCAACTCCGCATTCTGTTCTCAGAAACCATGTACTGTATGACGACTCCACACACTGTCCTCTGATCTCGCCTATCTGTATGACGACTCCACACACTGTCCTCTGATCTCGCCTATCTGTATGACGACTCCACACACTGTCCTCTGATCTCGCCTATTGTCCTCGGATGGTCAACATCACATAACACCAGTTCAAATGGGCCCAAAGCTAACAACAGTCAATACGTAATATCAGATACTGTGCCAATGATTCATATGAAATTAGGAGTCAATCCAACGCAGTCTTCGATGTGTCCTCGAATATGACCTACGTGCGGTGTCCTCATAATTCACACTTTACAAGTATGTGTGTGTGTGTGTGTGTGTGTGTGTGTGTGTGTGTGTGTGTGTGTGTGTGTGTGTGTGTGTGTGTGTGTGTGTGTGTGTGTGTGTGTGTGTGTGTGTGTGTGTGTGTGTGTGTGTGTGTGTGTGTGTGTGTGTGTGTGTGTGTGTGTGTGTGTGTGTGTGTGTGTGTGTGTGTGTGTGTGTGTGTGTGTGTGTGTGTGTGTGTGTGTGTGTGTGTGTGTGTGTGTGTGTGTGTGGTGTGTGTGTGTGTGTGTGTGTGTGTGTGTGTGTGTGTGTGTGTGTGTGTGTGTGTGTGTGTGTGTGTGTGTGTGTGTGTGTGTGTGTGTGTGTGTGTGTGTGTGTGTGTGTGTGTGTGTGTGTGTGTGTGTGTACTTGTAAGCCATCACTTTTGGGGTCATTTTGTGATCGCACACCTGCAATGCGAGGACACCATGTCACATTCACGGACAGTTTTGGTGTCCTCGGATTTAGAAGGCGGATATACCCATATTTTTCATTTTTTGATCGATTTAAGAGTTTTCGGAGTGTCCCGAAATTTCACGTCTTTTGAGATCGAGTGCGGAAAGTGTGTGAGTGCGGACATTTCGGAGCGTTTCCTATTCTGTGCGACGGATAGTGGTGTTTGGAATCGAAGGCATACCCGCCATTCATGAATCATAACTAGCGATTCATTGCCGCAATACATTTGTTCTTTGCAATTGGGATAATATTTTGATTTATATATATGTTTATTTAATATCAAATACTTCGGATTATTATTGAGTTAATTTCAATTTGAATCTTTTTTGTTAAATCAGACTCAATCTGAATCCTTTGCTGGATAAACAGGGAGCATGCGGCTGTTGCGCGTAGATTGGTTGCCACATACTATGACGTAATAGGTACATTATGTTGATTGGTCAGTTTACTCAAAACGCCTTTGGCTTCGACGCTCATTGGCCCCTTGCATTGGCCCAACTTTCGCGTGTTGTTGTTGTTGTAGAGTTAGGGCGCGCAGAACTTTCGCGTGCCTCTCCAACCGCCTTTTCATAAGAAGTTTGTACGTTTTTAGACTTAACTTTTCCGGTGGTTTTCGCGTGGATTTTCGTCAACTTCTTGAACAACTCTAACTACTGTCGTCCGTTTTGTAAGTGCATCATACCTATTTTCCCATTCGAATTAGGATAGCAAAGCCTTGTCAGATTTATTCCATGCTTATTCAGACAGATGGTTCAAGGCGGTCTCAGGCGCTGAGAGTTTATACTCTAAAATAAGTTTATCGAAAGTGTACCTACCAAAGACGTTCCAGGGATTTCCCAATCCTTAGTGTTCTCATTCTTTGGAGATTTAGCCCTTTTAAAGGTGAGTGTTTTTGTCTGTCTCTTCTTAAATATTGGTAATTATCCAGTTCAAGTTTAAATCAGCTTCAGTGCATGGGTGTTGTTTTCCATATGCTTGGTAGGGCCCGAGCCCTACCAATAATTTCAGGATTAATTTCATAATGATTTCAGAACATAAGATGTCTTCAAAAATGTATTAAGCAAGATGAAAAGAACATGTTAGAGCCCTGAAATTCCAGCTAACTTGAGATTCACCCAATACCGAAAGTGTTCTACGAAACATTCGGCTTTGGACTTATGTTTTTTGGTTTTTGTTTCTACAACTTTGCAAATTTTCCATTTCTGTCATTGAATAAGTAACAGTGTCGTAAATGCTATTTTCCAGCTTTAAAAATAACTCACGTAGTTATTATTTTCAGGGAAAAGTCCATGTAAGCTAGTGGCAGTAATTAGTTTGTAAGCACCTGACCAAGTACTATTCTTGTTGCGCTATTGACCCTCTTTCATTCTTTCTCAATTCCGTTTTTAGAAATGAACTCAGCTCGTTGAGTAGAGCATGTCAAAGCTCTGAATTCAACATGTGATATCTCCCTAGATTTTCATACCTAATCCCAAAAATGATTTACGAAACTCCGCTTTTGACATATGGTGTTTTTCAGCTGTTCTCTTTTTTAAACCTGGTGCTTCTCAATTCTGGCTTCTGAATCAGTATCAGTGTCTCCAATGCTAGTTGCCAGTACCAAAAATAACTGGGCTATAGGTACTTAAGGGGAAATGCAAGTATAAGGGGAAATGCACATACAAGTCGTATTAAATAGCTCTACAGTTTGTGTGCACCTAACCTAGTACTATTCTTGATGCGCGATTGATGCCCTCTCATTCTTTCCAAATTATGTCTTAAGAAATGCATTCAGCACATTGGTTGACACATGTTGGAGTCCTGGAACTTAAGGTAGCCCCTGAGATTCACTCATTACCAAAAGTGCCTAACGAAACATTCCGCTTTGCACCTACTCAGGTGTTTTTGGGCTTTCTTTTCTACAGCTTTGCCTATTTTCCAATTTGGCCAATTGAATTAGACTCAGTGTCTTAAATGCTATTTTCCAGTACCCAAAAATAAATGGATTGTTATTATTTTGAGAACTGCACATGTAAGCCTGTGGCAGTAAGTAGCTTTGTTTGCACCTGACTCAGTACTATTCTTGTTGCGCGATCGACACCCTCACCATGGATGAAGGAGCCCTCACTCTTTCTCAATCCTTTTTTTTAGAGACAAATCCAGCGCATTGAGTAAAACGTGTCAAATCCATGAAACTTGTGATATTGTTAAACAGGTTATTCTTCATCCTTCTAATAAACTTGTGATGGTATCTTCAAACATTCACATAATACCAAAAGTGATTTACGGAACTTTCTGCAATTGACATGAAATGTGTTTTTGGGCTGTTTTCTTTCTAAACCACTGGCCATTTCCAAAGTCTGTCATCTGAATCAGCCTC